AGTTGAAATATATCTCGGTAGCTCAAGTTACTCGTTTCAAGATTTCACAAAAATAAAATCCACTTGTAATTGACCGTAAAATAAACTCTTCTCATCAATTTATATTTCTCAAGTGCAATTTATCGATTTACTCTTTTTATTCGCAGTTTAACTTTTTTATTGACTGAAGTAAATGTGCTTTCCGTATTTATTTAGTTGCGGTTCTCACTTATATATATGTATATATATATGTGTGTGTGTTTGATATATTATCAGTAACTGCGTTTAAAAGACAGTTTAAAAATTTCGATATAGCGCTAGATAAACTGATGAATCTTTGATGAATAAGACGAGAGCGATTCGTATTTTAAAGATATGAATCGATAAAAAATTTATACTACGATAAGTGAAATGCAAGAGTGAATTTTATTTTTGCAGAATGTTAATTTGAAACAAGTTACCGAGATATTTTCAAGTTTCGAAAGTTAGCACGCTCAATTTTCCCTGAATTTGAATATTTTGTGTAAATAATTCATAACTGGGATGCCTGAAATTCACTTTCCCAGTGTTAGAGGAAGTTATCCCGCTTTTCGACAAGGAATATCGCATCCACGAAAACCGCACCCCTCGTCCCGGGGTAGCTCGTTTCGCCGGCGAGCCACTCGATTGCGACGTTCTCTCGACGGGCCACTCGATTGCGTTCGCCTAGCACGTGCTCTCCGGCACGCAGGGAAAGCGGCGCGCCACGGCATTTCTGAAAAAGCGGTCGTCGTCGCGTGCGGACCGCGAGAACCCTCGGCGTCCCTGCACATATACGCGATGCATACACGCGGTTATTAGTTATTAACGCGACCGAGCGGCCGCCTTTTTCTCCACCGCCACGAGGAGGGTGTGCTCACGCAGCACGTCACATCGGTCGGGGTAGGATCGATCCTCGGCCACGAGGTCGAGGGCTGGAAAGTGTTACGAGAACGGCGGCGAGCGGCGGCGGGGGGAGGGGGAGGGGGAGAAAGCGACGGGCTGTGTGTGCACAGGCCGGCGTCTTCTTCGTCGGCCGAGGCCGCGGAACCGCCCTTAACCCTATCAAATTTTTAACGTTTCACCGACGACGAACCGAACATACGAACTCGGCGGGCGCGGATCGATGAGGAGCAAGTGTGTTAACGTTGAGACAGAGTAGACTCGGTCGAAGTGGATGATGCAAAGGACATCGGATGTCCGACGGGCTTCGATTGTTCTTCAAGGCGTCCTCTCAGCGACGTCCTTCAGACGTCGTTTGCACGCCCGGACTTCGAGCCGGTTTTCGAGTACTGTGCAAGCTCGCGAGCCGGGGCGTTACGTCTTCGGGGAGTAGGGTAATCTCGCGCCTCTTGGAATAGGTTATTAGTAGCGTCAGAGCTGACGCAATGTTCTTCAAGGCGAGCAGTGCCTCCCACAACCTCGAAACTTGGCGTGAGGGAGTTGCGGTGACAGCAGCGAGTTGAACGTGACATCATGATCGTGAAGTTTTAATAATCACAATGACGATTTAATCGCGATGACGACTTCATCGCATTAATCCGCGTTCCCCCTCGGGAATTTGCAATGAAGAGTTTGAGTGTTGTCATCGACGGAAATTATTCTTTCGCGAACATCTCTTGAAGAGTGAAATTGTTAAGCTTGCAAATATTTAATCAATTTAATGGAAATTGCGACGTAAGCTATACGTGTGGTTATACTTATTAATTTCTTGACTTTACTTTCACGATGACTATTTAATTTCACTAATCGACTAATTTCTCAGGAGTTTCTAATTGCCAGTTTTAATCCCCTTGTCAACGAAAATATTTGTCGTTGACAACTTCTTTTAGAGGATAAAATTGTCAAGCTTGCACGTATTGAATCGATTTACTGCGAGTTGGAATGAAAATAAGCTATAAATGTGACATTATATTTGCAATTTCTTAATAATTTTATAATGGCTTTTTGATTTTATTATATTGATACCTTTAATTGATACCTTTTAGGAATATTTAATTATATAAATTTTAATTTTGTCTGTGACAAAAACAATTTTTATTGTTGACAAACTTCTCTTTTAATAGATATATATTTCAATTGTAAATACACGGATTTATCGAAATGTTTGCAACATTAAAGTAAATCGTCACATTGCAGAAAAATATTTCAATACAATAAATATGTCTACATCCTAATTGCAAAGATCTTTATCGACTCTATATTCGCAAGACTAAAATACGGCAATTATATCTTCTATAGAAGAACGTGTCGGAAGTAATAATCATGGGTCATCATTTCGCTATCAAAAGATATTGCGACACATTTGCCCCGCGTTTACTCCAGTCGGATTAACTTCACATTTCTAAGGTTGGCGTGTCACAATCTTAGCCACCGCAGGCGATTACTGCCAGCGGCAATATTTCTCAAGGTAAAACCGCGATGCTACCCCTCCAAGCCAATTACCATATAAACTCGCATATTTTTTTTTAGAATTAAGAAGCAGTTTTAGTGATGAAGAAAGAAATTTTTCTCTCATAAAAATCGAATTTTTGAAGCAAGTTGATCCTGCCGTTACAAGAATTATTTCATCCAGTCTCCTCAAACTGCTTGCAATTATTCTAGCGTAGCTTTTAGTGTCAACAAACAAATACCCCGACAATGAAACAAATCCTGCAATCTCAGAAGAGGAGAATTTTAGCGCGACTTAATATCGTCGTTACGGGAATTGTTTTATTGAGTCTGATGAAACTCGTCTCGAACTACTGCGTAAACATCGCGCCGTTTATCGCGACATCCCTAGATTAATATTACCTTCTCGGCAGCTTACATCGGTGACAATATTTTTCAAGGCAACACCTGCTGCCCGCGACCTCACGCGCGGTAACGAGCGCGAAGCCAATTACTCGCGCTGCGTCACGCATTCGAAATACCGTAAATCCCGTTCCCTCCGAAAGAACAAAACGTCGCCGCTAGTGCCTGATTTACTGGAAAACACGAGTAAAGCACGACGGATGGAGCAGGGGAAGAGCGAAAAGCGGGGAACGCGCGGTGCCATCTCGACGTCTGATCGACACGACATCTCCGTAACGCTCACACAATCGCGTCGCGCAGCGTCTTCGCGAGGAGTTCACGAAGCGAGCGAGCGAGTGGTTTCCGGAAGCTTTTAAAGATGGCTAATTCCTTGTTGTGTCCCGAAAGCTCGAAGAGGGTAACAAAGAGGCAGAGATAGAGCGAGAGAGCGAGAGAGAGAGAGAAACACACAGAAAGCAAGAGAGAGAGAGAAGGAGAGAGAAAGAGAGGGAGGGTGGAGCGATCGAAGGCACTCACGTCTCTCATCTCGCGGTCGTGGCGACGTGCTCGCGTGCTCGCGTCGTCGTTCCAGCGAGTCCGGCGCTGACGACGACCACGGCGACGACGACGATGTGGGAGAACGGACGCGATGCACTACTAGCACTCGCTGTCGCGGTTGCTGTTGCTGCTACTGCTGCTGCGCTCGCGCACGTCGGTCGATGCACCAGGCGCATCGCAACCCAGCGACCTCGGCACGAAGCTCCACGACGTGGCGAGCGCTTAGGCCGGGGGTTCGTCGTTCCGACCGGACGGTTCCGACCGGGCGCGCGTCGGCGGGGGGGGGGAGGGGGGGATGGTAGTAGCGAGGGGTAGTTTCGGAGGGAGCGACGTCTGCCGGCGCGCGACGGAAACCGACGCCCGAGCAGGCGCGCGCGACGTCGGCGTCCGATTGGAGGGCGGTTTGTCACGAGCAGCGGCGCGAAGGGGTTGTTGTTTCGGCGCCGATACGGTATTGGCGCTTTCGAATTTGTCTCGGTTGTTTCTTCAAGGAGGGGGATGGTAGTCGCGTATATCTATTTAATTTCTGAATGCGTTTGAAAATTTTATATTAATTTTGCTACTAAGAAAGTTGCGAATGTGTGTGTATTAGAATTCTCTTATGATACATCGGTATTATTGAATTAAAAGTGAAATCGCTTTTTAAATTCTTTATAGATATATTTAATTAAGCCTTTTTTTTTATTCTGTTTGTTTATTTTTTTACATTGTGTTTACTTTTCTTTGTCGATATTAATAATTCACATATTTTACGTAATTATAATAGAATAATCTTTTATGCAATATTAATGACATTAATTTGATGCGTATGATATTTCGCATTCAGATGAATAGATCGAACAATGGTTGATTCTCTCTCTCTATTTTTCTGTCTCTGTCCTTTTGGTGGCTAGGATATTTCGAGAATATTGAAATACCAAGGATCATACAAGCATGATTTAATCCGACGCGAATTTAACTCGACGTCACGAGATTCGGAACGTAATAATGCGTCCGTAAAGCGGCAAATAGTTGGCGCGCGTGTGGAACGCCCCAGCTTGTCGCGGCAATGGGAATTCATTTTCGATATCAATTAAGCCTCCGCGCCAGAATGCATACATCCGAATTCCGTCGGTTCGCCGCTTCTCTGACGTCGGCGCCACGTCCTTGAACCACTTTCGCGCGAAACCAATCGCGGATACGCGGGTATCGCGCGTAATAATCTCGGTATCTGGGTGATATCTAACCAGTCCGCGCTGCGTTCAGGTCAAAACATCGAGATAATGCTCGACCGTCACCCTGAATAATGGAAAAGCGGTAATTTTAAATTATCCCGGGATAAAAATAGGTCGTCTTAATTTAAACGTCGCCTGCAAACTCGAGTACCTGAAGCAATTTATGCAGCCTGTGACCAACATTCTCGCTATCTCTCCGGCAATTCTCACTTGCTCAATTTAAGTTCTTATCTTCCGGCAAAATGGGAGAGGATGACTTAATTATCGTGCAGCTCTTCCTGTATATTTAATAATAATTTTCGGCGACGAATGCGACGATGATTGTTCGATAAAGTCACGCCGCGAAACTTCAATAAGTTAAAACTGTGGCGAAGTTAAAATTTAGATATATGTATATGGACCAAATCTACTTTGAAATTACTTTTATAAATATGATTTTGATGAATTAATCTATTCTACACATTTCATTAGATGCAGATAATTAAAATTTAATTAAAAATTTGAGAATACAAAGGAGTTAAATTAGATCAGTTTAATTTTAACGAATTAATTCGCTCCAGATCTTCGTATTTAATTACTTATTTGAATTTTCCATTATTCTATTTTTGGAATGATTGATACCTCAACGAAATCTTGCCGAGCTCAAATAACAGCGGTCCGACCATATACTTTCTGCTTCTACTTCAATCACGTTCTTGCACGTATTGCTACTGGCATGACTGGTACAAATTTCTCTCCCTTTCTCTCTCTCTCTCTCTCTCTCTCTCCTTCCTTCTCCTCCTCTCTCTCTCTCTCTCTCTCTTTCTTTCTTGTCGAGATGAAACAGCGAGGTCGACAGCTTTCCTCCTCGACATGTTTGAATGATCGCGCGAACAGGCAGACGTAATCATTAGCCTTGTTCAACTCGGAGCTTTTACCTACCTACCTGTAAGTTTGAGTATTCTCGCACCTCGCGGCGTGATCAACAGGTTCGCGTGCCGGATGTGCCGACACGCCGGAAGTCCACTCGTCGGCCACGTGAAATCGTTCCGCGTGATACCGATCGGTTCGAGCTTTCGACCCCTACAGTAGTCGGGATTGATTCCGCGAAAAAATTTGAAATTTGAATTACAATTCTTAACGCGATATGCTGAGTGTTGTGAAAATATTTTAAGTTATAAATTTTTGCAAGATTTTAATCTATAATGAAAGAAAACGATACGCAGAAAACGTGCACGGTACCTATAATATAAACATTACTTTTTTCATATTCTCACAATTATATTCTTTTGTTACATTTTGAGAATTATATTTTTATTTCTTTGGAATTATATTTCTATCTATTAATAGAAACAATTGTTAATTACAAGTCTACAAAAAATTCTTTGGAAACAACAGAATTTCTTTTAAAGAACATTTTGCTTTAAACTAAACGTAAATTTTTTAAGGATTTAAAAACTTTTTTTAAAAATTTATAAGTAACATTGAAAACTGTTTGAAAAATATCGTCATATTTAAAAATTCCACAGACAATTTGGAAATAGTTTGTTAAAACTAATTTTAGACATTTTGGAAGGATTTATGGAATTCATTCAAAATTTGATCGGCTATGAAACAAAAATAAACTGGTGGATGAAATTTTGTCGAGAAATTCTCTTCAAAAAGAGACTCTGCGATGTATCATTTGGTACAATTTAAAGCCACATATCTCGTTATGAAGAGAACAACCATTTCGGAGAGGATTTTTCAAACGTCGAAATTCCATTATTTCGCCACTCTGGAGAAATTTAAGTTTAAGCTCTTGAGGTTTGATCTCGACACGTCACGTTCGGATATCTCGAATAAAACGAGAAAACGGGAAAAGTGTTTCTGAGTGTTTCTGCAATATTTATCAAATACGAATGTTTTAATAAATTATTAACAAAGAGCTATTTTCGTTACAAGAAGTTTTATACATTTAATATCGTATACTGTCTGTAAAAACTTAATATAGCTGCTGATAAAATATTATGACTGTAATATAGATAAAATTCAATGCAAAGAAGAAATTAATACGAACTTTATTTTATGCTATAAATGCAACAAGATTTTTTAAAACTCAGTAAAAGCTGCAGAGTTTTCTTCATTTTTCTCTTTTCTTTAAGATTGCTTTTGCGAAGATAGTTTTTAATTCTTTCCCGAATGCTTAAAAATAATCTTAAAATCTCCTTTAAATGTGTTTTTACTTAGTACCATTGTCATATCTTGAGAATGGAAATAAAGAGGACGCCATCGGAAACTCCGATTATCAGCAGAATCTTTGTGTAAACACGACCGTAAACGGGTTAATGGGTAATAAAAGACGAGATGAAAAAGGGTGGAGAGGGAATAGAAATCGGCGGGGCGGCGAGTCGCAGTGGCTTTACGACGATCCGAGGTTATCGAAAAAAAGTAGGGAAGATAAAAACACACACACGATGTGTAAAAGTGTAGGCCATCTATTCTCACTTTTGTCAGGTCGTACTACACGTGGAGCTACACGTTTCGCCGCGCAGTTCCTTTTTCGAGGACACCGTCGCTGTACATGTACGTGTGAGGAATTATTACAGCTAATTAGACGAATAGATACAAAGAAAATGTGAGGGGAGAAGAAGTCGATTGGGAGATAAGTACAAAATTGCGTAAGATTAAACCGTTGTCTCGGGGAAACCTTATTCGACTTCTAATTTCGTTCGGGACGCTCGACCATGCGTTCTTCTTTTGTTTCCTTTTTTTTGCACTTTTTTCTGCGGCCATACTTGCGCATCGCAGAGCTTCGTTAAAAATGTATATCAACGTGAAAAATTGACCGGCCGTAGTGGAATGATGATTCTCGATTAGCTGATTGAGCACACGGCTTTCGTTTCGATCCGGTTTGACGAAGGACGCAATCGGGCAAGCCCACTTTTTGTTTCGACGGACGAGTCGTTCATTATTTAACACCGGCTTCGGTAATGGCGTATCGATTGGACACACCGTGAATGCGGAGGCGGGTCCGAGTGAAAAAAGGCAAATCGGCTTTCGAATCGAGCCGCTGTAATCGATAAGATATTCCTATTAATCGTGTATAAATTATAAGTATATAAGTATTGTATGGATTTTTGATGGACCGTCCAATAATCGAATTATTATTGCTCATTATTCGATACGATATAATATAATCGTAGTATTTTTATTTTACATTTTTATGAATAAATATAAATATTTATGCACATTTTTAATGCCTTCTTTTAGAATGTTAAATATGATTAATTGATTAAAAATACTATTTGATATCAAGTTTAATTCTAAAAAACACAACTTGAGAGTCTTCAAATCTGAAGTATATTCATTTTTTATGTACAAATATTAAAAAAAATCTTTTCTTTACAAAATATTCCTACGAGAGAAATACACACACATAATTGATATGTTACAATTCTACGTATAAAAATATATTGACATTTCTGCGCGCTTATGTTTGTAAATTCGTGCTACGAGTCAGAGACAAAATGATGGACAATCGAAATGAAAATGAATGAGGGGGAAAATTAGTTGTGTTTCTCTCACTGATTATTCCGCGTCGTCAAATAAAAAGTGCGCACTCCGCGGAACCTCTTGAGCGTCTTTCGGGCTTTTCTATGAGGAAAAAACCGCGCTTGTCAGACTCTTACAACCGAGAAATATTTTCCAATATTCTTCGCAGAATTTCCCGGCTTTTTCATAACGACGGAAAAATACAGACTTGTCTGACTGTCACAGTCGGATCTTCCATTTCTATTTTCACCGCCCATAAGATAAAATATCTCGCGAGCTTTCTCGGATACTTTTACGCGGCTGTCCGGCGGAAATTGGAAAAAGTGGACCTGTCCGATCGTTGTGGTCGACCTTCTTTTTCTACTTCGTCGTGGAAAGTCGGGAAGAGAGATTCCTTTATCACAGAATTTTCTTTGCCTCCGCAGTTTTCTCGAGTTCGCGACGGAAGGACGAATATCGAGGCAGTTTTCCGATTTCCGGATTCCGTGGTTTTTTTTTTTTCTTTCTTTCGCAGTAATACGAGAGAAGATAGCGATTAATAATTGACAATTGTTTTTTTTTTTCGCCGGGGCTCCACGCGGTGCCCCTCTTGGTCGAGTCCACGCGTCGCGCGATTACAATTATTTACAAAAGATCACAACGACTCGTCATCGCTCGCGCGCTCGTCCCTCGCGCTCTATCGTAATCTCTTCGACGTCCGCGAAAAACGCACTTATCATACATACGCGCGGAGTTCCCGCATTCTCGTTATGCGCATTTAAATGCTGAACGCGGCTATTCTACAACGCAAAAACAATAATCAACTTCGTACATATATTTTTGTACAATTATCGTTTCGCAATATCGTCGAACTTAATCGTTACATTGAACAAGTATCACTCGTAAAAGGCAACATTTAACGCCAAATGTGCGGGCTTTCTTTTTAAGAAAAAAAAAAATAGAAATTTAATTATTTTAACGTAATCGCGTTTCTGTAATATCGTCGCGTGTTCTTTTTAGATAAAATTTTGGACAAATGACCGTATTGAGCGCTAAATGTGCTTCTGCGCTTGTTTCTCACGATGCACAAAAAAGAAGTGACAATTACAAATTTCCAATTATCCTAATTATTTCGATAGATCACGTGCTCCTTTTTTCATATTTTCCGCTAATTTCGATTTTTCTCAGCCGTGATTTTTATTGACCAAACGAATAGCACCGACGTGAATGCGTTGAGAAATAAAATTTTTCGCCGTAGCGTTGAGTTGCACGCTTCGACGTTGAACGCGACGCTTTTCAGCGGCAAGAATATGGGGTTTGTTTGCGTCACGGCGATAAGGAAACCTCGTGTGTGACTCACACGCCAAACGTGTGCGTCTAACGCTACAATAGCTCGCTCGCCGCTCGGTTGCGCAACTATTCCGAGCTGCTGAGTAGAAGTTACGCGAATCGTGCGTGCGCGCGCTCACGCGCACTTCCGGCCGTGCTGGTGACCGCGCTCAATCGTATCTCGGCGTCGCTCGATTGTTGTTTCTATCGAGCGACGAAAGACGAAGAGGAAAAAAAAACACGAGTTGTCATGGTATCTTGATAAACGAACTAATTAGAATTACAATTAACACGAGTGCAGCGAGATTCACCTCTCTTTGCTCTTGAAATCCGAGAGAACAAATTTCTCCTTCTGAGAACAAATTACGATCGATCGAGATAATTTATTTTAATATGATACTCGACGGTGTAACGACTGATAGATCTCACTTCTTCATAATTGCTTTAATAATACCTCGCAGTTCTTGAGTAAACTGTCGTCTTTTATCAATTATGATGGAATATTACGATAGCAAATTGCTGTAATTATGAGCTGAAATATTATAATGTAATGATATGTAATGTAACGGTATATATATGTAAGACTGGTACTGTTAATATTATTAACGAACATACGTTAATTAATATTTAAAAACTAATAATATTAACATTACTGTTTAATATATAGTATAGTTATAAAAATAATTAAATATATTGTGTAAGGTACAAAAAGCAAGTGAAAATAACATTTACATTTACAATTAGAATTTATATCTGTTATCTTTTGTTGTGTCGACTTTAAATTAGCGCCGATGAAATAAATTATCGATGATATATTTATTTTATTTGATTACTCACTTTGTTTGAAGAGAAAGTATTGAACAGAAATGATTTCGTGTGAAAATATGCGCGACTACTTTAAATTTATATAAGTCAGAAAATCACAAATTACCGGCGCTATCTCAATGTCGACGAACAGCAAGATAATTAGTGTGAGTTCCACTTTCTCCAAATTTTTACTCGATGTGTCATAATTTATTATCACAATATATTTAATTATATCACATTAATACATAATTAGCTAGATTTTTTGGCTCCTTGTTATTCGCCAATATCGTGTTCACATTCAATTACCCCGATCGATTCCACTTTGCTCTCTCTCTCTCTCTCTCTCTCGCCATTTTCGCCACCGAAAAGTCACTTTAATTTCGCGCTTAAAAAGTCTGCACAATTCCAAAACCGTCCTATTCATCATCAGGCTTCGAAGATCGCCTCCTGATGTTGCCAAGGACAGCATTCGGCAGCTATTCGAGACTACCGCTTGTGATTGTGGCCGCTGCCTTTGCTCCTGGGACTGTCAGAGGCCACGTCGTTGGGCTCCCTGCGCGGTCGCAGGATGAAGTTGAGGTTGTGCACGGTGCTGACGGCGTAGTAAACGTTGGCCGACGTAGGCAGGACCATCTCGCGATCGGGCAGCACCTGCGCGAGTGTGTACTGATCGGGGCTGCCCTCGAGACAGAGCTTCAGCATGGCGTTGCGGATGACCTGTGGCGTCCGCTCGTTGTTCGACAGCATGATCGACTTATATAGCACTACACCTTCCGTCTCCACATTGTCCGTTTCCATGGTGACCTTGATGATGTAGAAATCGGGCGAGCTCTTGTGCGAGTGACTTGGACTGGACAGTCCGGCGAGATTCGGCGTGCTGCCGTTGCCCGCCAAGGTGCCCGCCGGCGGTGCCAGCCGCGTCTGGTGACTGCCACCGCCGCCGGAGCTTAAGGATACGTCCAAGGAGGGTAGGGACGAGCTTGACGACGAGCTGGACATCTGCGAGGGTGAGGTGCGCCGGTCCAGAGAATTGTGCGGCGAGCTCGGGAGCGAATCGAGGTCGCAGTAGAACTGGGAGCTGCTCGAACTCGACGTCGACGCGATCGAGTCGTTTTTCCGGTGACCTTGATGATTCTGCAAAATTTGTGGATGTTAGTCTTTGTGAAAAAATATCTACGTAGCTGAATTTGATGTCAGGAAGTATTTAAGTGCACAGGATAATTGAACAAAAATTATTCACATTTATTTTATTTGATCATTTACTTATTTAGTTTCAATTTGTTTTCTACGAAGAAAAAATTTATAATAGAAATATTTTCTCTTCGGAATTGTGTTTAAAAAAAATGTGAAAATCTTTTTCAGGATATCGTTAATCGTGTCTCTATAATTATTTTAATGATAAAATACATTTGAAGCAAATTAGAATCATAAAAATCAGATTAGAAAATTTTTCTACGTTGGATAATTAAGTAAGGAATGCTAACTTGTTTCTTTTTGCCGCGATTATTGAGCGTGTTGCCCGCAGGCGGCGGCTCGATTTGACAGCTGAGTTTGTAAGCTTCCCGATCGTCGACCACTAGCACCGAGTGGAACCAGCGGTCAAACGCCGGATCCGTATTAAAGTTATACGCGTTCGCCGCACCCTGAAGAAGCCGTATCCTAGCGAGCACTTCGAACTCCTTCCGTCTTTTGTCAAAGTTGATCAATTGTTGTAGATTTTCGTCGGTAATTGTGTCCGGTATCGCCGTGTCGATCATTGTGAGGTCCGTTAGGAAGGTGCCTAGATACGGTATCGTGCCGTAGCTAATGTTCTGAAAGAAAGATTAAAGGAAATTTAGATATATTGAACTGCAGGATTCGCAAAGAAATCGCGCTAGCTTTATTGCGAAACAAGAAAGATAATTGTTTAATTAGTCGTTAATCTAGATATGTTTCCAATGATTTTGAATTAATATTGAAATTTTTTAAGAATGTATTATTTAATATCTTTTATTATTTTTTAATATTATGAATTGTTTTTATAATTTATTTCTTAGTTTGCATATTTCTAATCTCGTGAGAACACTAGAACTTGCAAATAAATTTAAATCTAAACTATCTTTTTATCTCAATTTAAATATCACAGATTTGATAACAATTAATATATTTAAAATGTTATTTTTTGAAGTAGAAGTTTCATTAACCCCTGTCGAGCTGCCCCCTTACAATATCGAGTTCCCCACCTTACACAATAAAAAACCAATAACGCAAATTATAAGCTATTTATGAGCTTTCATATTCCGCAATTAAAATTTTTGAGTTCGTCACACCGAGCATGAATTTAATGTTTTTCGTGGGGGGGGGGGCTGAGTCGATATCGATTCAGCCCCCACCGCTTAAAAATAAAAATATTGAATCAATCTTTGCGGTAGAATTAAGAGCTATTTATGAGCTTTTGAACTGATATAGTTTCGATTTTTAAGCTCACCCCCTTAGTCCTCAAACAACCCTTAATCGATGTTTCATTAAATTGTTATATTTTATTCTATAATACATAAACTTTTCTATCATGGGAATATCTCTTCTTTTAGATCAGAGTGATCTAAATTGTTGATAAGTTTTGTCAGAAAACAAGTCAAAAAAAGCAAATGAATTTTTTATCGTTAAAATCAAACTTACGCCCGCGTGAGTATTCTGTTTTTGAAAGAGCTTCTGTAGATGCCGGTCGCTTCTGCCGGCGGTGTCGGCGAACTTGGCGGTGCCCTCCTTAATGAGCAGTTCCCGCTGCGTCCAGGCATTGTTCTCCTCGGAAAATATCCTCTCCAGCTCACGGAAGAGCTCGTGTTTCTCCCGCGGCATGCACTGCCAGCATTTCTCCAATCGGTACACCGGATTGCTCTGTAGCCCGGACACGATCGCCTTCAGGCTGCTGAAGTTCTTGAGCACGCGTAGTTCCTGCGCGATGTCGATCCACGTCTCAAGGATCCGCGCGCGCTCCTGCGACCTGAGCGTCGTGTCCGCCAGAATCGTCGAAATGACGCGCAGCGAGACGGCGTTGAATTGATTCACGGTCGCCACCACGGTAGCGGCCTCGTGGCTTCTGGAGCGATCCTTTCGGGACCAGACAGCGCCGAGGCATTGATGGGCGACCAGTTTTTTGAATACCTCGGCATCCATCCGCGTCAGCTGCTCGGCGAAGTGACGTTGCGGCACCTCGGGAAAAATGTAGCTGCCCCAATGATCCGACATCATCGGGTCCGGAGAGCCCCGCATGGGCAACCGACCGTTGTCGTACACCGTGCAGGAGTCTGCAAGAGAGAGAAAATATTTATTTAATTAAAATTCATTCAAATTCGATCTACAATTAAGTGAATATCGTATGATATGTAAAATATTATTCCAGACTTTATTTTGAACATTAATTAAGTATTAAATAGTTGACGATTTAAATTAATTTGCAAGTATTTTTACGAAAGTAAGAATTTAATTACAAACTCGCTAAATTACTTTTTACGTCAGTTTTTATAAATTTATGATTCTAAAAATATTAATAACATCGTGAAAGTCGTTCTCAGAATTATAGTGGAAATTTTGTTATGTAAATTTTCGCGATATTACATTTTTATCAATAAGAAAAAAATTATAATTTTTAATAATTTTCTTCGAGAACATATTTTGTGTGTTCGGCTTTAAAGCGAGACCACCTCTATTTTGGGAATATTGTAACTGGATCAGGCTCGTGATCAGGCAGTGATTTTGAGATAAGCTCTGGGAATGAAAGGTGAGCCCTGTGAGCTCGGCTCACTAGTAGCAGCAAAGTGGACCCTCAATTTACACGGGAAGCAGACGCCTTTGTACGACCACGAATCGTCTGATTGGCCTTTCACCACCGCCAACACATTCAGATTCTCTCTTTCCGCACCGACCACCCGGTAGAATTAGTCTTTCGTAATGCTATTCACGCAGTAGTAAGTATGATATTTAACTCTCTTTCCCGCATTCCTAATATTCATCGTCACGAAATACATCGAAAACAGGCACAATAACACCTTATTTCGAGGATATCCGGCGGATATAAAAAGCGATCCGCTTATAATTTCGCCATCTGTTATATTATCTTTTACATAATTCCGAAGAGAAAGTTTCATAATCGATGGTTGTGTGGTCTTAAACAGCTCGAATAATAAAATACAACCTTTCTCTTCGACAATGCATTTGTAACGCGAAACTCCACGTTGTTTATTTGGTCTCTTATCGCAATTCAATGAATTCGCCGTAAACAAAATGTGTCAGTCCCCATTAGTCTGATAAGGATTATGAAATCCGCATGCTTCTAGATAAAACCTTATTTAAAAGATAAGGAATCTGTGCGCGTGCGATCGATATAGAAACACAATCGTATAAAAAGTTGAGCATCTCTTGAGCATATAAAAATAAAAGAATAATTCTTTATTATAGATAAGTGTTTTTAAAGTATAAAAATAAGAAGATAAGCCCTTTTTTCTTGATACGTTAATATTAGAACACATTTATAGCACAATTTCCGTTAGTATAACGAAACCGATAAGGTTTAGAGCAAGAGTCCGTTTTTATCAAGTTCTGCAGTTCCTCTTATTTGAACTTCCCACGTGCCTTATCGATTCTCCGACCGTTCGTATTTAAAGTTCACGCGGGAAGTCAGCTATGGGTGACTCACTCTCGCGCGACCGGAAATGTCATTTACCTATCTGATCCTCTCGTTGGAACCGATGCAGCCGGTGCCTGGCCTTAAGCTCAAGCTCCGAGCCGAGCAGGCGTCGACGCGTGAAGTCGAGCAGTCGGCTGAGGAGCGGGTGATTGGGGTGTGATTTCCAATCACCCGGATAAGCGTCCAGCCAGACGTGCAGCGCCTGGACCAACGTCTTACGGTGCTGCTCGCAGCCGGCGTTCCCGTCCAGAGCGTCGTAGCGGGCGAGCAGCAATTCGAGAACGTCATGTGGGGTTGTGAACGCACGGTACGTCGCTAGGAAGACGTTTATGTAGGTAGACTCCAACTCGCCATCGTCGTTCGCCAGACTCTCGACCAGGCGCTCCACCGTGCCGGCCTTGAGAAAACGCACCCGTACCGTTTCCCATTCCAAGTGCGAGATCTCGTCGTCAGAATCCTGGTAAATTAATTGATATTCGATAAATTTGATTAAATGTTTCTGAGAATTTCGTAATCAGAATTGCGAAAACGTGTGCTTTTGAAGTGAAAATCCTTTAAAACGTGATTGAATTTATAGGAAAACTGTTACTTGGGATTTTTTTTACAATTACTAATATTAAATTTAATTTCAGGGCCAAAATATGTACATAAAAACTGTTGGTCTCAAATTAATTAACATTAATTATAATAATACAAATATTTTTCTTTTAGTATACGTCAAAAGTTCAAAAGTTAGATCTTTGAAAATATTGAAAAGATATTGAATATTATCTAATTTGATAAGTCTGAGATAAACAGTTTAATATGGAGAACAGTACAATGAAGCAAGTTTTGGAAATACTTGAAAGTTATCTATACAAAACTTTAAAACAAATATTTATTAATTTTTTAAATAATCGAGATATTAAAATAACTAAAATTAATTCATGTGGCTATTTTCTACAATTTTGCTAGAAAATTATAGAATCTACAATTTTGATAAAGCGCCATCTACAAGCATTGAAAATCGTGAAATATTAGAAATTCGAGAAATTTTATCTTTAGTTAAAGATTTGGATGAAAACGCTCACCGATGCCGAGAGACTCCTTGTAGGCCGGTGATATCGGACCTTTTTCAGGTACACCGTGTATATAACGCCTTCGAACCGTTCCTCGCCCCATAAACGCCACGTGGGCTGCAAAGTAGAAAATTGAACGGCAAACTTAGTCATGTACCAATGGATGCTGCTGACGGTAATGGCATCGGTAGGGAAAGGTCGCACACTAGGGGTTGATTTACTCTCCTAATTTCTCGAGGCACGAACCACCTCTGTTACGAACTAATATGATCAGAGTAACAAATTGACCCATCAATTTAGAAAGAGATCTACAATTTTCTCTGTGACATACAGTTAATTTATTTGTTAATTGAATAATTGAGATTAATCGTTGCGGCCGCCTCATAATATGAAATTACTGTTATAATTAGTAGTGACTTTAGTCAGGAAAAGGAAGAAAGTTTCTCACGAAATTACTCATCGCGTTGGTATATTCACTAGTATTATTTTATTGTATTAATTATTAATTATCAAAATTGATCACCGTGTTACGAAATTATTTTGCTACACTCGATTTTATGTTGACCGTGAAATCATCCCCTTTCAAGCTACCTTTTTTCGCGCGCTATTCTAAATATTGATTCGCCAAACAACATGCTTTTTATCACTTAATGTCAATAATATTTTTTCTGATAACTTGCTACCGTGTTGCAATCGTATCATAATAAAAAGGTGGTTTATTGTCAAAATATTTATTTGTGTTGAAATAAAATATATACATTTGCCAAAAGATTTAAAAAATTGCGTAATGTTTTGAAATATTTGTATCAAGCTTCGAAAATATGACATATTATATCTTTTCTTTTTAAATTTCTTATTAAAATTTTATCAGAAACACAATTACTTCGTTCTTCGCAACTTGATGCACATTTTACGAAGCACCTTGCAGTTTTCCATTCGAAGAAAATTGAAATAAAATTAATGCAAAAATAATGTGACAATCATGACGAGATGAGAGAAATGGAGATAACATCGAGAGTCAACGATCAATATTGATTTGTCGAATGCGTTAATTGTGGAGTGAGGATCCCCGAATTTGTATTTATTAATCCTTAACTCTTCGATGAATAAGTCATGAAATCAACTGAGTCATGTCCGTGCTTAATAAATATATATTCATGAGTGCATACAATGTATATGCGCAAGCGTGTCGCTTATCAGTGACAGTTGATGCCGGCCGGTGTACGTAATTAATTCCAACTTGATAAAGATGGACTCACTCACGCGATGACATAACGCGCGTGTGATAAGCCCGCTGCATAAAGGTAGTTAGCCTTTGGGAAAGGTATTTTGTTTTATCATCGCGAAAAGAGACCGTAATTAGCGATGTTCATCGCGATGCGCTTCCGGTTGCTTCGCGAAAAAATGGCGCTCGTGTTCATTATTTTCCCGAGTGGTGTTGCATCAAATTAAGACTTGATTAAAAAAAATTAACATATTGATTAATTAGGAAGGGTGATTTAGGCGATCTAATTAAATGTGAAAAACATAATTTAATTAGGCTTAAGATGACATTAATAATGAATGTAAACATCGTTCGAGACATTGTTGTGGTCGCGATTACGAAATCGACATGGAATGCAATACAAGCGTCGCTTATTTATTTGGCATTGAAATTCTGTAAATAAATCGAGTCTTAAGACCGTGTAAGAAGCTTAATGTCGAATGGACATAAATTGACGCATCAAACGATTGCAATCGAAGCCGTAGAAGAAACGACACGGTCCGCAGGTACAGAGAACCTAACACGAAGTGAGAAGCGTGTCATTGCCACATTCACGATTTTCTTTTCTCGTGTCCGAGAAAAGAAATCGCTTTACGGAAAAGAGGCAGAGAACTGGAAACCAGAGATATCACGCTTTTTTATCGGGAAAAAAATCACACTTTCTGTAAATTATTTAAGAAACTAGTTCATAGAAGAGAAGAGAACTGTGTATTTATTATGGATTAGAAAATGCATATTAAGATAAAGTTAGTGCAAAATGTATAAAATTTTATGAAACAATAATTGGTTTCTATTAGCTAAAATCGAAATCTTTTTTGCCTATGATTATCCAAAGTTAGTAAAACTAATCATTAGAATTAAACATTGATGGATCAAGGAACTAAAATAAAGCTCTCTCTTTTGTGAATCAATTCTATTCAATTTGTTTTCTATAATTTTTAAATTTATTTTTTCACGATTTAACTCAACGTTAATAATTTCAGACAGATTTAAATTAACAAAAACTTCTCGCAAGCGAATTAGTATAATCTTTGACTCATTTTGACGCAAAAATCTCTCTTTAGAAATTGCCGGCTTAAGATAATTAATCCAGATAGATTAAAAATTTTTGCAATGCAAGGGTTTGCTTTAAAATTTCAAACAGCGAGAAATATTACGATCCCATGACAGAGTGACGAGTAAGACCGGAGGAGGCCATGGGACCCCAAGTCTGTCCGCTTACGCTCCGGAACGGGCAATTAGACACTCGCGGGAGGGAACCCGAGCGTGACTCGAGGTCCTCGTACCTGCGCTCGTCCTTGAGACGAGCTTCCCTCGAGTGTCGATTCACCATTGTTCCGCTGTAAACAGCACGAGCCTCGAGAAACGTCCGTTCCGTACGACAAAGCGACGCGCGGAATATCTCTCGATCGAGGTTAAATCGCCGTAATTGAGGAGATTTCCGGTAATAAGGTCCGTAAGCCGTATAGTATTGCTCAACGATCACGTCAGACTACCGCGGGATAGTGATATATTTGCTCAATAACATCCTTTGCAAAGACGTAACTTTTATTTTAAGAATAAAGTAATTGCATATCTATCTGAATATTTGACAAAACACTCTATTAATTAAAATATATATTTCAAAAAATATTTATCATGATTTTTATTCTCAGAATAACTGATGAATCATTCAAAAACGCGATAAAAAAATTACAAATTTTATAAAATAGAAGAAAAATTTCAGAATAAATTATTGACCGCGTAGATATTTATTATTGGTCGCAAAATATGGAATATTCTACATATTTGTTCTATAAAAATCAATCATTTTTAAAAATACAATTTTCTGTCACAATAAAATGTGTATATTGAATTTATTGTATAAAATAGAAGCTTTATGCCTTAGCCGGCTAAAGCAAATGTTTGAGTTCATAAATCATTTAGGAATCATTTAGTGTAACATAATTGAGAACGATAGGAAACTACAATTTTCCATGGTACCGTATTAATGCGCGAATCACCGTAAATTGGGCAATGTATGCCGAGCGAACAGGCGAGAGAGGCGCATATCGCGCACGCCGGGCGATCGATCGTCGGGAAACAAATGCAAAATTCATGAGATCGCGTCGATGTCGCCGACCATAAGTAAATTGGTGGTAAAACAGTGTAACATTCGAAGTGCCATTTCTGGAACGTCGAGACGGTCGCCGCGCGAACAGAACGAACGGCGCGGCTAGACGGAACGTCGCGAAATCTCGAAAATGTCCCGCCGAGGTCAATGGTCCTGCAGGCGCGATGTATCCCGAAATACACTCTATTATTCTTCCCGTCGAGTTCCTGCGGAAAGCGCTAGAACGCCGCAACCAGAGCGCGGAAATGCAGATGCAGTTACATCGATTCCGCGAATTTCTTTATCGAGAATTCCAACAATTATGATAGTCAAAAGTGTACAAAGAATGTTTTATTCGATTATTATTCCATCGATATGAATAGAAAAATAGCTGCGCTACGTTTTTCAATAAAATTCGAAATAAACTCTTTTTTTAAATATTAAAATAAAATTTTTAAACTCTATTATTTAAATAACAATAGATGTGATAACAAAAGTAACGTCAAGTATAAATTTATAATTTCGAAACTCTAACAAAATTGACAAAAGAAATCTTAATTATTTTCTCAAAGAAATATTTCTCAAGTGCGATGATGACCATGACGGATTAATGCGAATTGTTTTTGCTGATTAAGCTGTGAGGCGATCGCTTTTTTTTTCACGTTATGCAAAAGACGATACAGTTCCAATGGCACTCTGACCCTGATTACTCGGTTAAACGGCTCGGCCGACCGACGCGGTATGCGTATGTGTGTGCGTGAGTTTGTGCATACGCGATTCAATCCGGGGATCGCTCGTTACAGCCAAGGTTTCGGTTACGAAGATTGATAATTGTGACATCTATCGCACACAAAATGCGCAATCTTGCCTGTCATGCACTAAGAGTAAGCCTTAACAGGATAAAAGCAATAAAAGAATTAACACTCGCTCTTTCCGTGCATCTCGATGCTCTATTAAATATTCACGCGTCGCAGAAACGATAATTCTAGCAAATCACATGCAAATATACAGGATGTATCATATTTTCTTATCAAATTTTGGATTTTTCTTCCGTGGAAGTTTGATTGCCATTTTTAAGATTCGCATCTTCAGAACAAAATTTTACCAAACATTGAGAATTAAAATGTCATCAATAAATAAATTTTGATGAGTAAATGTATATTGTTAATAATAATATAAAAAAATTTGACTAACGTATAACACACCAATATTACATTAGAAACTTTATTTTTACGCAAAAGAATTTCATAATCAAGTCCACTTAACTCAGACATCCAAACGCGTATTATCAAGAACATTAAGATACACCCTGCGCGAAATGAAACATGAAACGATTACATCGAGCACACTTGTCAATGACAAAAGCGCTTGTAAATCAGCTGAGCGACAAATTTGAGAGAAAATCACGTCTCCGACACGAGCGAGCCGATCTTATCGTGCAGTCGATATGTTATCGTCTCGTAATCTCGAGTTTACGAACGGGATCGCCATCTTTTTCTCTCTTTCACGTGGCGCGTGACGGAGCACGCGACTTGGTCAACGAAAAATATGAAGCAGGCAACAAAACACAGGCCGAAACATTACGATGTTCATCATTTGTCATCCAGGGTTGTCTCTTTACCTGTTGCACGTACCACTGGGTGGAGCTCTGGCTCTTCCGGTGGTTGCTCGGCTTGCAGGGGGCGCAGAGCAGCAAGGGGGTCAGTTTGTTCACCCCCTTGGCACCGGCTGCCGCCGCCGGCGCGGGCGACGCTGTGGGGCTCAGCCCGTCATCCCCCCCCAACACCGGCCACAGCATCCACGCGCCCTTTGCCCGCCCTGCCCCCTTCGTCTACCCTCTTCGTCCCCTCAGCGCTCCCGCGGTGCTCCTTCCTTCGCGAAACTCGCGCGGAACTTCTTCGAACTCTTCTTTTCTTCTTCTTTTCGTACTCTTTTCTTTTTCAAGGGGCGTCCACGACACGGCGCGAACTGTCGTGTCGCCCGCCGCCGGCGAACTGAGTCCACCGACGTCGCGTCACCACGCCTCGATGTCGATGACGATGACGTTCGCGCGCGACCGCTCGCTCCAGAAGCAGGAGCGTATCATCGTACCGCGTCGAGACGCGTCTCCGATGCTCGATAACTGCAGCTGAAGATTGAGATTACAGTCGGTTGAGAACGAGTGATGTGCTTTGCGAATGGAGCCTCGCGGAGTCACTTCGTCATTTTATTTCGCGAGTACATGAGCGAAAGTAGTGAAATAATTTTAGCGGGTCATTAATTTTTCTATTTTTTGCATGAATTATTTATTGTTCGATTTATAGAGAATAGAGACGAATATTTTTCGCGCAGTTTTAATATATAAAAGATGAATAATTCCTGAAATTTAGAGTTATTTTTGAACAATGATTAAAGTTTGAATATAACGCAATTGACGCGAATAGCACGATTGTCAGTCGTTTTTTTCCATAATTGATTAATTCTTCAATTTAGTAGTTTAAATGAATGCAGATGTATCTCTGAATATTGACGATTTCTTTATCTCATAATTATTTCGAATGATAAATTGATTTAGAGCCATTTAATCGTTTTTCATTTAAAAATAACTCATTAATTCAATCATCCATAATGCAACACTTGCGGCCATGAGAGTCGAAAGTAATACACTTATGCTTATCGAGGATTAATCATCCTTGCACCTGACTTACGGTGACGCAAAGGAAACAAACAAACCTACAAACACAGCACGCTTTATATCGGGACGCGCTAATGAAAGAGAGACGCCTCCGTCCGCTATGCTTCGATAGCTCGGAGCAATTAATTAGATCTGAAAGGGCAGAGGTGACATGCGTGTTTACGCTTCCGGTGCACGCGTATCGATGGTAACCTCATCGCACGAGAGAGAGCCCATGTATTTCGAGAATGCCACCCTCGATTTTTCGTCGTTCCTTTCCCTTTTCGAAGTTAAAGGGCAACGCGTAAACACTGCCGGAAGCTAAAGGCCAAACGATATTTCATCGAAACAAAGGACGAAACGTACAGCGGCTTGATCTTTTAATGTTAAAGCACTCTGCGAATAGCAATTAATAATTAGCGTTCGAATTAATATAGAGAGAATAATGTGATTTTAACGTATATTATAATTTTGATTAGAAAATAGTTGCTTGAATTATAAGCTTGCAATTAAATGCAACAATGACTTAGCTGTTTATTAATTTAATCGTTTCTGTCGTTAAATGGAAACTGCCGCTTTGGCAGATTTGATCTCGGCGTATCAACGGGTTAAATGTATTTGGGATCTCACATGGACAAGGTCCATGTGAAAATGTGACGCATATGTCTTCTCAATTGTCAATTTGTTACGTCGCCGTCGCGTTTCGTTCCACTAATAGGCGATAATCTTCGTTCCGCGAATTGACTATTGCGCGACCGTGAAAGAACGATGTTTTTCGCGGAAGATTAATGGATTATATTATCCTAAATCAAAGACAGAAAACTAGTATATAATCAAACGGAAAAGAAAATATTCTTGCGGAGAATATTGTGTGTCAGAGTATTTTTAAAATAATCGTACTATCCACAAGAATGTGCGTTATATTATGCAAGAATATATATAGTCATTTTAGAAATATGATCACAGGCTATCTTTGAGGCAGGTCTCGGTGTGATATTTCTCAGTTCGATATTTCAGCACAAAAATGCGAAATCCAAACTAACATAAAAGAAATTATTTTTCTTCTCAAAAAAGCATTGTTTAAAGTAGATCAGCTTCAAAGAACGTACATTATTATGCAATAAAAAACGCATGCAATCATTTCAGAAATATACCAACATCAGACTATTTTTAGAATAATGTGTCTGTATATCTTAAAATATCAGCAGTATATTTTTGCACTCGGAAAAAAATTCCATAGTACTCTGGAAACATTTTTTATTTTCTAAACGAATTATCTCCAAGATATTTTCCGATCGATCAAGATATTCTCGCAATATTCTTATCAATTTAAAATTAAAAAAGATTCTTGTTTAAAAAAGTTGTTTCTTTTTACATTGCTATGCAAACAAGATAGGCGTCAGTGTTTGTCAAAGATAAAGAGAATGAAAAAAAACTCGCGGGGCTGATTGGACTCCTCTTTCACGTGGCGGAACCCAATTGTTGAAATTCGATTATCGTTTGCGATTGGATTTCGTCGGCTGGCGAACGGAACACACGTCACAGCGCGACGGATGGCCCTACGAGCGCCTGGCGCAATACGATTAAGGCAAATATACACACAGAAATGATAAAAGTGTCGACGGCCCGTCGACGCCTCATTTTCCGACGATAGAACGATAAAACGAACGCCCCGTCGCCGCGTCACGACATGACACGAGAGGTTAACAGAGGCGTGTGTCACAACCTTAATCTTTCTTAAAGACAGACATATGAAACGCGTACAAGCGAGAATTCTCTTAATTTTGTCAAATTTAACTCCTGAATTAAAATAATCATCATACTATTTTTTTAAAATTATTTTTCACTGAAAAACAGCCGTGACATTTTTTTTCAATCATGCCGATTTTATCAAACTTTCATTTCTATGTCTATTCATCTCTAAATTGAACACTACTTTTATTTTATTTTATTCTGATGTGTTTATTTGTGTTTCTAACTTCCAATTTATATTTTCCATTTATATCTAAATTAAGACCAACCACCGTACCAACTATTTTAAATTTTATTAACGTTTATTCGTAAAATCTGGATTTAGAGAATCTGAATATTTATATTATCTATGCAAAAGTGAATTACAATTTATGCAACTTTTCTTGACAATAATATTAATTTAATGCAACATTCCTTTATCGTGATTTCACGAAGAGACTTCAAGAATAAGAAATTAGATCACGATTCTTATGATTCAACTTGCATGAACTTTTTGCGACACAAAGGATATTGTCTGTCAAGCGTTTTAGTCGCGATAACGACAGATCTCGCGGTGACACATGCTCGCATAATGATATCTGGACTCTCTCGGCGAGAAGAGAGCACATGTAACGCGGAATACATTATGCAACGCAGGTATTGTCCATAAAGGGAGGCGAGCGACTCGTTCCGCCGCGGCAGGAAGTGCTTAACCCAAGTTAAGCACCTCTCATCTCTCTCTCTCGTGTCATTTAGTAACTTTAATAGCGTCGATCTAAAGCCCTTCATTCACGATGGGAAGCGACCTAATTGCCGTTCCCGCATACGATCCTAAATTTTGCCATCGATAATCGCTCTGTCGTCCCTTTGTTCGTCCAAAGTGCACAGACCGCAAATTACCCTTCGATTATGACCTATCGATTTCTGGTGACTAAACTATGAGAATATTTCACGAGTTTCATTAATAAATATTCTCTCCTGTGATTACAATATTTTTGCCGATAAAAGCATTGGAATTAATATATTGTAATAAATTGAATTCATATTCTCTTTTCTTTGCTACGTTAATATAAATCCTCATGTTTTTTAAACTTTAAATGTTATCTAACAGTTTTGCAAGAAATATTTTTACCCACCAATATTAATTTTAATAATTATTATTGCAACTTACTCAATTTAAATATGGAAGTGGTTTGTTTACTTGGAAGTTATACTGAATTTCTATATTTTTTTTGTTTTTCAGATGGTAATGTTAATTGGCGATGGATTCAGTTAGCACTAGGGAATAAGCATGTGTCAGCAGATTGTGGAAAACCGAATGCCCAACTAATAGGTTAGTCGGTTAGTCACTCATTACGTCGGTACGCCCGGCACGCTCGCAAGTACGTCTGTGAGCGTATGTTTACGCGTGTGTTCGCACGATTCAACAATAACTGCTTAGAGTCTTTCAAGGTGTTTTTGCAAGCAAGCCTAATGTTAGCCGAGCAGAAACATTCCTCTTCGGTGATTTTCCACCTCGATATTATTCACTGATCTTATCGATTTTGAAATAGGAAATCGTGAAAATATTTTGAGTGAAACATTTGAAATATATATATATATATATAAACCGACCTTTAAAATCAAAATCAAATGTAGCTATTGAGTTTTGCAACGCGAGAACTCTGAGATCCGCGATATCAAAGCAGCAGTGAAATCAACAGCGGAAATGATATATACGAATAATTACACTGGTCGTAAAACCATGTATTCAAGCACAGTATTAATTTCCCAAAAATAAACTTAACTATTAAAATTAAAATATAAAAATTTATAAAACTTAAAAAAATATTACGGCATATAGAAACTTCAAGACTTAATATAAAAAAGTGGGCGTGCAGAAGTCATAAAATTATTTTTATATTCAAAACGCGTCAAGGATAATAGTACCATTAAAAGTTTTAGTTTAAATATTTTATTGATAATTTGTATTATGCAAGATAAGTGATATCTTTTTTTAATTCTTACGTAGTGCAAAAATATTATTCAGAAAAATTGAAATTTTTATTTTCGCCGATTATAGTCTTTAAATGAAATCTTCAATAATTTTGACGTTTATTATCATCATTATTTCTTATTAATTTCACTGAGATAAATTCTGTATGATTATTATATTTTTTTAATGCACATATCTTTTCGTCATTCACAAGAGATCTCAGAGAGCGATGAAATTACTTTCAAAGTCTTGAATGAAGATTTTACTTCGTGAAAGTGTAGTACTACGCGATATGAAAAGTAAACGCCGACAACAATGTCTCACTGATAATTAATGTAAAGTGGAGTATCGATCGCTCCACGAAGAATAGAATAATCCCCGATTCTAAAGAAACCAGTTGCGTATCTTTACAAAGAAATAAAGCGAAATTATGAATTTTTCTTGCTTCCCTGAATTTTATGAATCATTATACCGGTGGATCAATTACAAACACGAGCGAAACGCATGCTTCAGCGAATGCGAAATATACATATATTTTAAAGCAACCGAGAAACTAATAAAGAAAGATATTTATTTATTACTAAAATTTATCGTAACTTTAAGTGATCTTTATTTTAATAATTAATTATGTCACGTGAAAAACAACTAATTCTGTCAGCAGACATTTTTAAGAAACCTGGTAGGTTTTTAAGAAACTTGGTAGGTAAAATTATCGATCGCCAAATTATTAGATAGCACTTAGGAGTCGATATACACTGATTAACACACT